GTTGTGATTTCACTCTTTTCATTCCTAATTGCACGGATTGCAGTCTTTTTTTGTTTGGTACCGGGGACCAAACTCATGACCTTGCACTTGCCAGACAGGCACTTGTACCAATGAGCTAAACCCCAGGTCTAGGATTGAAGTCTTGTCTTTTCTTTTTTTTTTGGATAAGATTGGCTAGTGGTTTGTCAATTTTATTTAATCTTTCAAAGAACCAACTCTTTGATTGATCGATTCTGTGTATTGCTTTTTAGTCTGCAGTGTGTTAATTTCTGCTCTGATCTTTATAATTTCCTCCCTCGTATGAGCTTTTGGCTTTGCCTACTTGTCTGGAAGTTTGAGGTTCCCCATTAAGGTGTTTGTATGCACTTGCTCTGTTTTCCTGATATGGTATTTACTGCTATAAATTTCCCTCTGAAGACTGCTTTCATGGTGTCCCACAAGTTCAAGTATGTTGTATTGTTATCATTCAGCTGTAAAAACTGTCCAGTTTCTCCTTTAATTTCATATGTGACCCATTGGTTGTTCAGTGGGGTGCTATTTAACTTCCATGTGTTTATGAAATTCTCGTGGCTTCTTTTGCTGTGGATTTCCAGTTTCATTGCACTGTGGTCTGATAGTATGCATGAGATGATTTTAGTTTCTTTGCATGTACTTAGCCATGTTCTATGAGCCAGTATATCATCTGTTTTAGAGAATGTCCTGTGTGCAGCTGAGAAGGATGGGTATTCTGATGTGAGTGGAACACTCTATAGTCATCTCTTAAGTCCATTTGTTCAAAAGTTTGATTCGGTTCTAATATTTCATTAATGATTTTTTTTTGTCTAGTTGAGCTGTCTTTTTGTGACATTGGGGTGTTGAGGTCTCCCAATGCTGCTGTATTAGGGCTTACTTGATTGCTCATGTCTGTTAGCAGTTGTTTTATATAGTTGTGTGCACTGGTATGTGTTGCACGTATATTTATGATTGTTCACTTTAGAGAATGTAGTGATCCTCTTTATCTTTCTTAATCAGTCTTGGCTTGAAAATTCACTTTGTCTGCAAATTGAGTAGCTACCCCTGCTTTTTTCTGGGTTCCTGTTGCATGTTGTTTTCCAGTCTTTGACTTTCAGTCTATGAATTTTTTTAATTAGATGTGTTTCTTACATGCAGCGTATTGTTGGGTCTTGCTTCTTGATCCTTTCTGCCTGTCTGTGTCTTTTGATTGGTGAAGTGAGACCACTAACATTAATAGTTACACTGATATGTATTGACTTATCCTTGTCATGTCATTTTCCTGTTGTTGTCCCCCATTTTTCCCCACTTTAATTGTTCGCCTTTCCTGGTGGATTCCTTCCGTTGGGGTTCATGGAGGTGTAATCCTTATTATCTCTTTCTAGAATGTTCTTCAGAACATTTTCAAGTGCTGGTTTTGTTGGCCATCAGTTTCCTCAGATGTTCTTTATCATGGAAGTATCTTTTTTCTCCATCGATTTTGAAAGTTAGTTTTGCAGGGTACATCAGTCTGGGTTGTGAGCTGCTTTCCTTTAGAACGTGGGGTGCTTCATTCCAATCTCTCCTTGACTTGAAAGTTTCTGGTGTAAAGTCAGCTGTGATTCTGATGCGCTTTCCTTTATATGTGATTTGTTTCTTTTCTCTAACAGCTTTTAAAATTCTATTCTTGTGTTGAATTTCTGGAATCTTGACTATGATGTGCCTGGCTTGAATTTTTTTGATCATGGCTATTTGAAGTTCTTTGTGCCTCATTTGTCGGTTACAGTACAGAATTTAGAATGGCTGTTTTCCTCAGTGCTACTTGCAAGTCCTTATGTATGTTTTTCTGACTTATAAAAGCAGTGTGTGAATAATACAGCTCTTATAGATAGTATAAAAATCTTGACAATGAATAAACAAACAAAAACTACTTTTTCTCCACTATCCGCTGTGGTGCTATTTACTGGTCCGAGCCAGACACCCGCTCGTCCGCCTCAGCTGTCCCTTGAATGGCTCGCTCACCAAGTGCTGGTCTGTGCCGGCCCCGCTCACTGAGGCCGCCTCCCATTCCTGTCGGGTGTGTCTCATTACTCTCTGTGTGGGTGTTCATTCCACACCACGTTTGTAGCCATCTTTCAAAAGTCAGTTTAATTGTTGCTCCCCTAAACGGCTCCCTCTGCCTGTAGAATGAAACCTGGACTTCTGGCCTGGTGATCCAGGCTTCTGAGAGCCGGTGCATACGCAGCTCTTGATCTTCCGTCTCCCCCGCCACGGCTCACTGCTGCCTGCTCTCCTGCAGGGAAGGATGCTGTTTCCTCTAAGCCTTCTGTGTGCTCTTCCCTTCGTGCAGCGTGGAGCATTGCCTCCTACCTCCCCTCGACCTTTTCCAAGTCAGGATTTAGCACCTTTCCTGCCGTCCTGGCTGGACTGGCTGTTTCCTGTCCTTTGCCCCTCTCCAGCTTGGTTGTCTCGGTACTAAATGGCACCTCGCTTGGCAGCTGTCCTCAGGCTGCTTTGCATTCTCACGTGTATGGAGGACCCTGTAGGGCTTTGCTTATCTGCCAGTGTTTACTGAATTATAATGAAAGTGAAGAACTTAAGGATTAATTTATTTTAAAACTAAGCCTATTACCTGGTATTTTTCATACAGCTATTACTCAAAATGCAAAAAGTGAGGAAATGGCACTGCATTTGCATTTTTGCAATTGCTTTTTATGTCTGAGTGAATCAAGAGCAGCCAAATGTGTTCAGATTGTTGTGACCTGGTTCACGTGGCCTGTGGAAACCTCTGCAGTACCCTTCTGAGAGGAGGAGAGCGAGCAGACTGCGGCCTTCGGATTTCTAGGAAGATAGTGTTGACCTTGTGTGTCCCCTGCCAGGGTGCCTGGAGCCTCTGGGCATCCCTGCATTGCACACCACCTAATGGCAGTGTCTTAGTTACTTTTTACTCATCACTGAGACAAAATACCTCATACCCAAGTTGGGAAAGGAAAGGTTTATTTCTTACAGTTTTTGGAGGCTTCAGTCCACAGTCAGTTGGCTCCCAGGCAGGCGGGCAGGGCTGGACCGCAGTTCAGGGCGGCTGCAAACAGCAAACAGGAATCAGCAAAGAGCAAGACACGCCTTCTTCCTGCCATTACATCACATCCTGGCTCCACCCCTATGTGGGTGGAGCACTGACACCATCAATCCAAGCACTAGATAATGAACCATCACAAACACACAATGCAAACTCATGAGGCCTGGGGGACACAGAATAAACCATGACAGGCAGGTAGTTCATTTTTCTCTCCCCTCTGGCCATGTGCAGGGCAGTTGCGGCCAGGTCCACTGCGTCCTGCTGTATCCCTCAAGCCTGGCTCTTTGTTCCCCGTGTAACAGGTTCTCAGATGTCTAGCGATTGATCCCTTGTTCAGTCCATTGCTTGGCTGGTTTGGTTCTCCAGGAGCTGACATCAGGAATCTGATGTAGACGGTAGGGATCTGCCCTGTGTAGAGGAGAATCACAGAGTGCAGGCATTTTGTGCCACTCCAGCAGGAGCATTTGCCCTTGACATTTTTTACACAATGTCACCGAAGTGTAATTGTCACTTGGGCTCAGTTAATGGTGAGGTGAGCGGAAACAAGTCTTCATCTTGAATTTAAAAATAAGGTGTATGTCTGTGGAGTGATATGAATAAATACACTGAAATATCCTTTCACGTTCTGCAAGTCTAGTCTTTTATTTCTACTTGACTAGAAGGAGTAAAAGCATTATCCCCGTTTGCTGCTGTGGAAATAGTTTAGGAGAAACACACAAGAAATGTTTGTTCTGGAAAGGCCAGTAGATAACAAATAGGAGATCTTAGATTCTTAAAAGCTTGCCAGAAAAACAACATTTATTCAATGTAGGCCTGAAAAAATGCTTTTAAAATAGTAAAACAGGAAAAAAAAAAAGATAACAACACGAGGCATAGCTTAGTAATTATGTGTTGTCTGGTTCCCATGAAAGCCATGATTAGAAAGAGAAGGGAAAATGTGCTTATTACAGCCACAAGCGTTGACGACGTCTCATTGCATGATCACTGTGCCCTCCGACCCCTGGAAGCCGTGATGCGCACACCCTGATCACGGCCCACTGAAACCCAGGGCCTTGCCTTCAGGTTTATCCTAGCCTGCTTCAGAGTATTCATGCTTTTTGCTATGATCATATTTATAGAATTAGGATCCCTGGGGAATTTTATTTTCATTTTGTTCAACAAAAAGGACTTTGTACTTGGGATATAGATTTTCTTACATCGTAAGTGAATGAGAGAGCGGGAGAGAGGAAGTTTGATTTTTCTTTCTCACAGTGCGTACTGGGCATCACACCCAGGGCATTCACACTGAGTTCTGTCTCCCCAACCGCTCTTTATTTGTCTTATTTTGGGACAGGGTCTTTCTAAATGGCCTAGGCTGGGATCAAGCTTGCGATCCTGGCTCAGCCGCCCAGTGTGCTGGGATTGATCGCAGGCGTGTCACACCACGCCCAATCAGCATCTGATACACCTCTGGTGACATTTTGGGTGGACACAAATGAGAGAACGGCTCTGACACCATGCATTTGTAAGTAACTCCTTCGCAGGGCAGTGTGTCTGCCGGAGCACTTAGTTTCTCCTTGCTCCTGTCCTGGGGACCGCACGGCAGCTGGACCCCATTGCTTCAGTGGAAAATGGGGGATGCTCCGGCTTTAAGGTGTCCTCTAAGAAACGGGGTGAGCTGCTGACTTCTTAGTACTCTGTGAGACGTCGTGTCAGGAGAGCTTCTTAACAGTAAAATCATTTTCCTTTTGTGTGTTTTTAAAAAATTTTTGTTTCTACCTATAAGCGTTTATTTCTCGTTTGCAGTGAGGTCTAGAAGGAGCTGGTTTAAATATCTGCACGTTTATTACTTTGCTTCTTAACAGAGTGGCGCCGTAGACTCGTTTCCAGGGTAGTAGCTATGTAAACTGTCGGGGCGGTGGCCTGTCCTGTCCTGTGGGTGAAACATTTGTACCCCTTTTCTTCCTTTTAGCACAGCATCCGGAAGTTTTTGGGGCATTGTAACGATCTTGATCGAGAGATGAGAAAATGCTTGAAGAATGAGGTAAGAAAAATGTCAAGGGTTAGAAGTAGTTGAACCATAGAACCTAACGTTTTTGAATATTGTATATTGCTGTCATTGTTAAAGTTTCCCCCCATGTGCAGTGCGAAAACCAACTAAGTATGTGTGGCACCTCCCCCGACCCATAAAATTGAGAGACGAGGTTCCCTGAGGAGAGCTTTGGAATGTTGCTGTCCCCTTGCCAGGCACACAAGTGATGAAAATTCCTTTGTTGCAAAATGCCAGTTGGATGGTTTTAGGGTTTCAGACACTGTGCTGGTGATTAGCAGACAGACAGTGGCCACTGGCTGACGAGCATGTGACTAAAACTAGGCCCCGTTTCCTTGTACGATGAGGAAGGCAGGTTCAGGTTTTTCAGCGTCCACAGCTGGAGCGTTCTGTAGTTACGCGGTGTGCGAGCCACAGGGACCACAGGGACCACAGGGACCGAGGGAGACTGACTACTCCGGGCTGGAGTCACGGGACGGAGGCCTCAGGCGAGTGGTCAGCAGACTGTGTACTGTGTGCTCTTCCAGGGAGCTCTGACAGGCAGAGAGCGTTTACACCTTTGGAAGAAGTCTCATTTCTGTTTTGTGCATCCCGTGACCAGAACCTTTAAACTAATAACTAAAAAGAGAAAACATTATATATAATGACTAGTGTCTGTTCATTTCTTACTTTTCATATTTTTAAACTTCAGTTAGTCTCAGATTGAAAGTTTTAAATATTTGAAGTTGTTTAGCATCTGTATTTCTTCATTTTGTGTATTTTGTAGTCCTTTTTAGAATTATTTTCCATATGGCAATCACTAGAAATCTGTCTCTTTTTTTGAGCCAGGGTCTCACTGTGTAGGGCAGGCCGGCCTTGAGCTCCCTTTTTAGCCCAGCTGGCCTTGACCTCACAGCAATCCTCTTGCCTCAGCCTGAGTGTAAAGGTGATAATTTTGTGTCTGTGCATGTGTATGTAAAATTTAAAATGATTTTTTTTTTTGTCTTTTTCATTTTTTTATCGGTACCGGGGATCGAACTCACGACTGCCTGCTTGCAAGGCAGGCGCTTATGCCGCTGAGCTAAATCCCCAGCCCTTAAAATGATTTTTGAAAAATGTTTCTTTCCTATATAAAGGCTAGCGTGGAAGCTAGCTAGTGGAAAAATAAAGCCCATATTGATTTATTCGATGAAGCTGTTTTGTTTTTCTTCCTTCATGTGTGCTTGTAGTTGTAGTATTTACCTGTTAAGATTTTTTTCTCTATATAGTGCAGCTTTATTGATTGAACTTCATATGAAGTTTCTTTCTCAGCTTGTCCTGAGCTCTGCTAGTGACTGTTTGGTAGAATGCTGTAGATATTTATTTTTGTGTGTGTTTTCCGTGTAGGTTTTACGTCTTCTCCTTGACTTCGTTCCCTGACCTCTAGGTCTTGCGGGCGGTTTGCGCTGGTTTGCTGCCTGGTGCTCAGTGTCTCCCGCCCGCTCTCACCCTCCGACCCCCTGGGCCTGCGCTCCTGGGCGTGCTCTGCCCCGCAGGCTTCCCCGCTCTCCACTTCTCCCTCTGTGTCCTCTGACTGTATTTTCCTGTTCTGCAGGGGCCACCATGAGGTTCTGTGGAGCTGTCCTAACATGTATTTTAATTTAGTTTAATTTGCTCTGTAACTCATTTTATTGGCCTGCTGTGCAGTACTCTTATCCTTAATAACCTCTACCGATTCTGATTGGCTGGGGCAGATCGCTGTTAAGTCCTGTGCTTTTTTTTTTTTTTTGGTACCAGGGATTGAAACCTCACGCTTGCCAGCCAGGTTTATGCCACTGAGCTAAACCCCCAGCGTAAGTCCTTTGCTTAAGGGCAGGATCTCTCCATGTTCTAGACTGTGGTTTGGGCTGAGTCTCCCTTTCTCCAGTGATTTTCCTCTGCGGTTCTGAGCCCAGGCCCTTGGACGTGTTAGGCAGGTGCTGTCTGCAGAGCGGCCCCCTAGCCCGCCCCTCCCCAGTCACCCAGGAGGAAATTTCGTGTATGACAGATTGAATGATTTTAGTTGAGGGGACCTGGTGCTTCATCTGGGATTTGAAGTGACCTCTTCAAGAGGAAGAAAGAAAGCTTGAAAAACTGTCATTTAAAAAGATGTGCAGTATCTTTCAGTCAGTCAGCAGCTTTTGTCTTTTTTGGTACCGGGGATCGAACTCACGACTGTGTGCTTGCAAGGCAGGCGCTTATGCCGCTGAGCTAAATCCTGGGCCCTCAGTCAGGAGGGGCGGGGAAGGGCTTCCAGTCAAGTCCCTGCTTACCTTTTGTGCTGCTGGTTTGTTTCTGAGGCCTCTCGGTCTGTATCTGCCTCCTGAAACATTTTAATGTCCAGGTGTTCTGTATGCTCAGCTCTTCCCTATTTGAATTTACTTTTAGTCTTTTTTCCCTCTGCCCAGGGGAAAATATCCTTCACCTTTAGAATGTCTGTAGTAAGCCTATAAACATATACACACAGAAACATTTGTATTCGAGATTCTCTGTTTTGGGATTTTTTTTTTGAGACAGGGTCTTGCTTTGAGGTTCAAGCTGGCCTTGAGCTCACTCTGTAGCCCGGGCTGGCCTCGAACTCACAGCAGTTCTCCTGCCTCAGCCTCCCAGGTGCTGGGATTATATATGTGCACCACTATGTCTGGCTCAAGTTTCTCTGTTTTAAACTTTGTTAATAACCATTTGTTTAAGAAAATTTAAGTACTTTGTCTAAGTGCCAGGCTCTGTATTTTCTGTTATTTATAACCTGTTGGCCAGACAGAAAACCTCCTAGAAAAAAGCTGCATTTGACATAACTGATTGTACAATATTAGGATTTGGGAGAATCAAATTTGTTACCTGTCCATGGTGAAGAAAGCCTAGGAGGTTCAGCCAGCTGGAAATTTCTGTGTGGGTCAAAAGGATAACATGGGTACTGAGAGGCTTTGACTTGGGAAACTTTTCTGTGGTTCTGGGTATTGGGCCCAGGGCCTTTGCACTGAGCGACATACCCAGCCCCCTCCCTCCCTTTTTGACTATCGAGCCATGTAGTTTAGCTCGAACTCTTGGTGACCCTCCTGCCTGAGGCTCCCGATTGCTAGGATTGCGGGCATACCACCACCATTCCTGGCTGATTGCCTTTTACTCTCAACATTATAAAATAGAGTATATGACTAGGTCGTAAGAACTAGGTCCACTGTCTGTGTTGACCAGGCCATGTCTAGCGTTCTGCGTTTAATTCTAGTTACGATTTTGATGTTTTAAAAATTTTGTGCCGGGATCATACTCATGACCTCATGCTTACTAAGCAGGTACCCGTGTCACTGAGCTGAATCCCTGGCCCTAGTTATGATTTTTAGTATTGGACACTGATGTCAGTAAAGGTCACTTTACAGCTTCTATTGGAAAACTGTCGGAAGCTGTGTGTTCCGGAAACCGGTGGTGTTACCTGTCAGCTGTGTGAAGATTCAGCAGGCAGGCAGGAAGGAGGGCAGTGGAGTTTACAAGGGAATAGAGTTTTGTTCAGTGTGAAGACTTTGGGACGAGGGGCCCCGACCAGGGTTCCGCAGGGCACCGTCAAGTTGGCAGCCCTCGTAAGCAGGGCGTCGGGGCCTTCCTGGACGCCGAGCTCAGCAGGGCGAGCCCGGAACCCATCCGCCTGAGTACGCAGCGGGTGCCCTCTGGGGAGATGCTGACTCCCAGCTGGCTGGTCCTGTACCGATGAGGCCGCGTCCTCTGAGGTCCCTGTGTGCAGCCTCACGTGCGGTGAAGTAAAATACAAATAAAATTATGTCGGCAGATGTTTTTAGCCTCACTGATCCGAATGATGACACCTGCTGTCTCTTCTCTCCCTTTTTCCTTCCAGTACATGGAAAAGAGAACCAGAAGCAGGGAACACGGCAATGAGATGCGAAAAAGACTTCTCCATCCTTCTGAGGAAGCTGGAAAATAAGTTGTTTTTCCCCCGGATGGTGACCGAGAGAGGACCTAAGGACTGCTGATGGGCAGCGGAAAGAACCCTTTCTTACGTGGTCTCAGAGTCCTTTGAATGGAGAGTGGCCCGGGAAGAGCTGAGCTGTGGGCAGGTGTGAGAACCTGGCTTCTGCACACGTGCTGAGCCGCGCTGTGGGGCCGTCGCTTCTGCCCGCACACCTGCCCGCTGTGTGTATCCCCCTGTCTGCAGCCACTTGAGTAACTTACCTCCCTCAATAAAATATTTAAGACGTTTTCCTCCTGTCTCGTAGACTGTCCTAGAATTAGATTTAAATGGCATTTTGACAACAACACGATTGCAAAGATTAAACATTGATTTTTGACAATGTGATGATTCTGAGGATTAAACACCACCTAGGGCAAGAAGAACCGGGAGAGTCCCAGGTGTGTTAACTCTGTGACAGGTCCCAGGGATTCTGTGTTTAGAGAGCCATTTTCCAAAATACTAAGTGCTTACCAGTTGGCCCTCTGAGCAGGACTGAAAATACGCAAACAGTTTGTCTGCACTGAACACGTACACACGTCTTCCTCATTCTCTAAACAACACAGTGTCACAACTGCCCAGCATTGCGTTTTATTAGGTCTCATGAGTAATCCCACCTGATGAGGCTGAACACAGGTTATGTGCAGGTACTGCTCCATTGGAGTGTCCAGGACATCCTGGAACCACAGCACGACTTATAGGATTGCATCCAGTTGGCGCTTCAGTCACAGAGCTTTGCTTCTCCGTTTGGGTGAATGTGCCCACTGGGGGTGCCATTATCTCCCTGGCACTGACCTCGGAACGGTTCGTCTCCTCTCTGCTGGGTACAGGGCTCTTCGGATGTTCCGTGTGGCCAGCTGGATGTTCAGTGTTCCTTCTGCCGGTTGTTTCTTAGACCTGAGATGACGTGAAGCCAGCAACTCCGAGCCATGGCCAGCAGGGGCTCGGGCATTCTCTCAGGTGCCAAGAGCTGGGTGGCTGCTGGCTCCATCCAGGGAATCCTGTGTGTCACGTCCACTTGAGCCCTGGTTGGTCACGGTGTTTAGTAAGTGATTTTCTGACCCAGGGGGTATTCAAGAAGCTGGACATCCATTTAGCAAGGTGAGGATGGAGGATGACATTCAGTGAAGGGATGGCATAGAACCGGAAGTAATTCGGTCCTTCCCAGGACAAGAGCACGAATGGCTATCGTCTCCCTGAGTGTCAGCCGCTGAGCACAGAAATGGGCCACTTTGCCTGTGGAATCCTGTAGCAAACTGATGAGGTGATCATTATTGTAGCCAACTGTAATTGCAAAAGTTCCCTGATTAAGGAGGTGTCACAGGAAACATGAAAGGGCACTTAGGCCCAGCCATCAGGGAGACGGAGTCTTGCCAGGAAAGCTGCTTGGCAGAGGTGTCCTTTGACAAACAAGAGAAAATGGGACACTTTCTGGGAAACTTGAGGTCATTCAGCGTGATGGGAATGTGGGAACTGATGGCGGGGGGAGATCATAAATAGCTTTGAATTCTTTTGAGGTTTTTAAAAAGGTTATATATTTTTGGCTTTTTTTTTTTTTTTTTTTTTTTTTGAACTGGGAATTGAACTCATGACCTTGCACTTGCAAAGCAGGCGCTTATGCCACTGAGCTAAATCCCCAGTCATCTTTGGGCTTTTTGAGACAAGGCCTGGTAATGTAACCCAGGCTGACCTCAAAATCCGCAATCTTCCTGCCTCAGCCTCCTGAGTGCTGGATTGCACGTGAGCACCATCACACCTGGCTGTTGAATTCTCTTGAGATTTTTAGCTTTAGTTCAGTGATGACCAGGTGCAAATTTTAGTATGGTGGTGACGCTTTTGGGGAAAAGGGTTAGAAGATACCTTTCAACTTTGTTTTGCTGGGTATAGTTTGGGGGATACTACAGAAGGAAAAGAAGGTTGCACCCAGGGAGACCAATCAGATTTTGATCTAACTTGTATTAGAAATGACGCCCGAGTGAAGGAAGTGGCTTTAGTGGTCGAGGGGCCTGAATAGATCCGAGGGGAATCTGAGCAAGACTGACCAGGGTCAGGGATTAGGGGAGAGACTTGGACGTCCCAGGCGTTCGCCGAGTGCATGTGTGCTGGTCGGGCTCTGCCTGGGGAGAGGCACTGGAGAGGAGGGGTGTGCGTGTGTGCATGCGTGTGTGCGTGTGTGTGTGTGTGTGCGTGTGTGCGTGTGAGGTGGGGGGAGGACTTGCCGGAACCAGAGCAGAATGAAAAGATGGGCACTCGTGGCAGCAAAAGCCCTGCGGGCCAAAGTTGGTGTTGACCATGGAAGTTGTCTTCTGGAGCAGACAGGAACTTTAGGGTTCACTTAACTAAAAGAAATGATTAAGTAACATATTCCTGCATATTTCCCCTTTGAGGAGTAGCGGGCAGTGGCTTTCGAGCCCCCCTGCCTCCCCAGCATTATCTCCAGCTCACAGCGGGCGGGCCTCAGAGCCTTTTCAGAAGTGCGGAAGCAGAAGGAGCCCAGTGGGGGAGAAGGAGTGGGCACAGAGGCAGGAGGACCCCGGAGAATGGCGGGGCACAGAGGAGGGCGTGCCACTGTCTCAAATAAGGGCGAGCAGCCAGTTGACTGGGTTCCTTGGATCTGGCACCTTAGAGCCGTTTGAAAGACAGGAGGAAGGGAAGGCAGGGGAGAGCATCTGAGGAAGCTTGTCTGTGCCCGTGAGGGGGGAGGTCAGGAGATCCTGTGTCAGAGGAAAAGAGCTGCAGAGAAGGCGGGGATGGGTGACCCCTCCCCCAGGACTGCAGTGGCGGGGGTGGCCCAGGGCCTTTGCACTGACCTACAGCCCCAGCCCTTTGTGTTTTTTCTATTTTTAGACAGGCTCTCTCTAAGTTGCTAAGTTGCTGTTTCCCAGGCTAGGTTCAAATTCTGATCCTCTGCCTCAGCTTCCCCTAGTGCTGGGATTACAGGTGTGTCTTTGGAGTGATGTCTATGAAGATACAGAGATGATTTATTTTATTTAGAAACCAAACCCGGAACTGAAAGCTTGAAGCACTTAAAACGCTCCTTTCGAGGGGTGGGAATTTAGCTCAGTGGCATAAGCACCTGCCTTGCAAGCACACAGTTGTGAGTTTGATCCCCGGTAGGCTCCTTTCAGACAGCCTTGAACACGTGGCTCAGTGATGGATGCGATGCTGTGCTCTCTTCTGGGTGTTAAGAGGCCAGGCTGTCACTGCTCTCTGAGGACCACAAACCCAAAGGCTAAAGTGATCTCCCAGAACCAGTGAAGTCCTGGTGAATGTTTAATGACTGACTCAAAACCTAAACAAAAGCAAAACACGGCTGTGTTCCGGTTTCAGTGGTGGAAAGTCAGCGCCTGTACAGTGACACCGCAGCTGAAGCCTCGTGGTCGAGGTTGGGTTTGGGCCCAGGATGAGTTCTGGGGTTCAGATGCCTCTTGCCCTCAGCCCCACCCTGCATAATCACAAAAGCTTGACGGACAGCTCAGGGGCGCTTGGATCTTCTGAAGCGGACCTGGACTGGACGTGTCACCCGCAAAGGGCTCAGCCTCTCTGGATTTCAACCCTTATTTTAAATGAGATTGTTGGGCTGGTTTGCTTGTTTATCATAGAGCTCATAGGACCCCAGGCGTAAGCACTAAATAATCAGTAGGAATGATGTTATTTTCTCTGGGAGGGGACTGGGCAAGCTGGGGTCTTCCCTGGCTAGGCAAACACCGTGCCACTGAGCTGCAGTCCCGGCCGGGTAACATTTGTCTGCGGTAAAGATTCTGTGACCACGAGAGCGATTTGGCCTGGGGTTGTTGTGCCTGGTGTTGTTTCCCAGCCCATCTGGGTCTCAGAGTCTTGTGCTGAACCTCGCAACTGTAAAGATTATTAAGAGGACTCTAGCACACCCTGTGGGCACATGCAGTGATGGGGAGGGAGGGGCTCAGCGGTCCGCTCAGGCCTGCTCAGGTCTGGCCTGCCTCTGGGTCGCCCTCAGGACTTCAGAGAAGCCTCCTCCCGGCCCAGCCCACCCCTTTGAGGTCTTACTCTCCCTTGATTCCAGCTCATGATCCCTACAGAAAAAATGCACGCTCAGAGCGATGGCCGCAGAATCTCCATTCCCATTTCCAGCTCCCTGGAGGGAGGGAGATGTGCCTGCACCGGGAGAGGGTGCTGGAGTCAGCAGGGGAGAAAGGTGGGTAGCCTGGGTTGTGCAGGCCTTGAAAGCATGGCAAGGCATGTGGATCTCATCAGAGGAAATCTGAAAGCTTTAGGAGGTTGAAGGTAGGGACTGGCTAGGATTTCATTTTAGTTATATTTTGTAAAGGTCTCTCTGGTTGCTGGTGAAGGCGGTTATGATTAAATGAATTCAACCCAGTGACTATACGGGTCACGTGGGGTTACAGTGGAGATTCACTGAGATGTGAACATAGCAAGGGCCCTCGCCACAGTGCTGTTATAGTGCATGCAAACCCGGGTTAGAAATACATCCCCGCCCTTTGGCAGGATGCATTAGGTCACTTGGGGTGTCTCATTTGGAACTGGTGGGGGTACTGGGGTGCAGGGTTTGGGAGGAAGAAGGTAGGCTCAGGCTCTGCAGATCCCTACAGCTCATCCCATTCTGGCCCCATTCCGTCTCCCTGAACTCCTGTCTGTACAGGAAGCCGGTTCCCCCATATGCCGTGTCTCTCCGTCACTGTACCACTGCTGGTTTATGCCGTGTTTCCATTTAGCCTGCTGTGGATCAGAGCAGAACCTCTGTTTTTCCTCTCTGGAGCATGCATGCTTTCTGAGCTTTCTAGGTATTTGAAAGGTTTCTGTCTTGGTTACTTTTTACTCGTTGCTGAGACAAAATACCTGAAGCCCAAAGTTGGGAAAGGAAAGGTTTATTTCTTACAGTTTTTGGAGGTTTCAGTCCACACTCAGTTGGCTCCAAGACAGGTGGGCATGGCTGGGCCACCTTTCATGGTGGCTGCAAACAGCAAACAGGAACCAATAAAAAGCAAGACACACCTTCTTCCTGCCATTACATCACATCCTGGCTCCACCCCTATGCAGCTGGAGCACTGACATCATCAATCCAAGCACTAGACAATGAACCATCACAAATGCACAATGCTAACTTATGAGGCCTGGGGGACACCGACATAAACCATGACAGTTTCCTTGAGGTGGAAGCCTAAGAGGTTATTGGAGACTGAGGCAGGGTGATGCAGAGACCCTCCGTCTTCTTTATCAGGTACTTAACACTGCTAGGTGCTGGTGACACAGTG